GACAACCCCGTAACAATATGCGTTTTGTACTGCTGTTACACAGCACAAAACGCATAAAAATCAATTTGCAAGAAAGCGATGTTTAGCGGACACTGCTCAGACTTGTAGTGCCATTCAAGTGGGTTTACGGTGTCGTGTGTTTACGGTGTTTACGCTTGAATGGCATCGTAAGCTGTGCTACCTATTTAACCTGAAATTTTGAGGTTTGCAGATAATATACAGAAAAGCAGTTGTTTTCAGTGGACATGACTTAGATTGTCTTTGATTTTATTTCTGAAATATCTCCCTAGTAGGTTGCAAATTTGTGTGGAAGCAGAAGTGCCTATCAGTCTCCTAAGCAACTTGCTTTTACCACTAGCAGCCGTCGGCTGGCTGTACTTCTGATTCTTTTCAAATCCAATTTAGTGATATGTCCAGCGATGGCTTAAGTAACCCAATATGAACAGTAATGGTACCTGTTCACTGTCTAAACAATTCAATAAGTCGTAGAGTTGGTCGAAAACAAGGGCTTATGCGGGAACTGGCAACAAGTGCAGTTGTAGTAAGCCTGCTGCTTCATGATAAGATGTCATTATCGGACCTATAGCTCAGTTTCAAAGATTGGCGTTAGACCGTTTCTTCAGCCTCTGACGTGTAGTTTTTTCATCGCATCTAAAGTTTTTTTGTCCTTTTTTAAAAGAGTTTGACGGAAATCGCCTATTACAGGAGGCAGGATCAGCACCTGCGCAGGAAGCGAAAAGTAATTCACTGACATATCCGGAACCGGATTACGATACAAGTGGTACTCGCAACTCGAGCAGGCTTTGAATATGTGACCGGAAAATCTTATATCAGCTTGGTTCGAATGCTATTTTATTAGCAGAATTTGCAGTTTTAACATGCGCGGACTTTTCTGATCAGTTTTAACATGGACTGCTTGTGTTGGCCAGTGTGGAATGAATTACTGGAGTACTTGAAATTGGACGTCGAAATCCATTCTGTTTTGACGCATAATTTAAATTCCCATTAAAGCTAAAAATGCAAAACGAAAGAGCTACAAGCTCAAATTTTTATATTTAAATCTGCAATACCACTACAGAACAAAGCAACAGGTCGGAATCCAGTTCGAATCTTTTCTGTTTTTATTCACGCGCTGAAATTTAGCCTCATGTTGTAACTCCATTGTGGAGTAAATCATGAGTTGGCTATTTTGGCTTTTTGCTGTGAGTAGTGGAAATGATTATTATGGGCCCAGTAGAGGTTCCAAATTTGTACAGATATAGTTAATAAACCTAGAAGCGCAAGCAATTTTGCACTGTTTTACAGCACGAGCTGCTTTTCACGTGCTCTGTATTTATGTATTATGATTTATGTGTAGCATTACTTAATACTTTGAAGTGACTAAAAATTAAATTCACTCTCTGTGAAGGATGAAGACACTTGATAACAGCTCTGATATGTACGTCTGTTGTGACCAGCAGTCATTCACTGGCCAGCTTGTCGAAGGTTCTCTTTTTCAGGTGTTATTTAGAAACAAGCTAATGTTGGATTTACTGATAAACGTGAAGTCTAAATTAAAATCGAAATGAATGAATGAATCACAGAGAAATTTGTTGTCCCGCTGGCGGTAACGGGCCCTCAATCTTTAGCTTAGGAGTGTCAGTACTAGAAATAATGCCATTTCGCCAGTTTGCATTAAAAAAAAGAAAAAAACGAACCGAGTGATTTGCATCGTTTAATTTACCTGTGCTTTTCTCGCATTAGAAGTTTTGCAATAAAAATTCATCGTTTCTTTCTAGCCAACGCGGATTTATCGAATTTGCACAGTAAATTCACAAGCAGTGTAATTTGCATGGCAATTTTCTGCGGTGTGCTCTTTAACGTTTCGTATAATGTAAGTCAGTTCACACTCAGTAATATCATACATCAGCAACCGGCACCTTGAAGAAGACAGCCACGGTCGACGTCCAAAAAAACGATGTATCCTTGACAAAACCTGTGACGCGAGAGGTGCGGCTCCACTTAATTCTCTTAGCATGTGATGGCTATAGTGTCGTTATTTCTAGAACAACAGCTCATTTTTTTCAATTTCGAATTAGCTATGCTTTTTATGACGCATAACTTTTGTTTTTTTTTATAAGTGGGTAAAGACCGGACAAAAAAATACTAGTTGCTTTCAATATTTTTTAACTTATGTCTAAAACATGCACAATAGTGCGCGGCGTATGGGAGCATCCCAGTAACATTATTTACACGGGGTTTTTGCGCCGAGCTCCAAATCGTTTTTGTATTATGAAAAGATACCAATAATACCAGTTACCTTAACATCTCACACTAATAATCTTTCTGAGACACGTGTATACTCCAGTATTATGACCCAGTTAGCAGAGCGCACCGACGCTGCCAGTGGGATCATGGTTTAATGCGCAGAACTTGAAACAGCCAGATTGTTAAT